GTCATTAATTTTTTTTGTCATATTTCCATGTCATCACTTTTTGTCATGTCTCCGTGCCACGTGTATTAAAAATTTGACATGTCATCAGGTAACCGTTAATCACCAAGACACGTCATTGGATTTTTAACGGAAGGACCAAGTTGGGGTTAAAATGATAAACAGTAGGGACCAAATCAGGGATTTATTGAGTTGAGGGACCAAGTCGGGGGTCCGTACCATAGTTGAGGGACCAAAATGGGGGTTTAACCTTAATTATATAACTATAAATATATTGCAAACTTGTAATAACTGGCCGCATTAGCCAGGCGCGGATTGCCCCCAAAAAAACGACGTCGTTTTTTTCCACACAATCTCTGACATTGAATTTGTACCGGAAAACGAAGAATTCTGCACTGCAATTTACTGAGGTGACGGAGGGAGGGGGAAGAAAAAGAAGATATTGGTCGAAATTCGGCTTGAAATGGTAAGCTTACAAAGGAAACTCACGAGTAGGAATCCATGGTTTTGGATTTTTGGTTTCCCTTACCGGATTTTTGTTCCTAGGATTACTTGAAGACGGTGGTTCCGTCGCAACTGGTCTCCGAGCGGGGCTCCAATCTTGTCGTGATCAACCCTGGCTCTGCAAATCTCAGAGTAGGTCTTGCTCACCAGGATACTCCGTTCATCGTCCCTCACTGCATTGCTCGCCGCACCACCCAAATCCCCAAGCTAAATGTTCAAGATCAGGTTCACGATCTTCAAACACACCTCCTTTTCCTATTCTATTTTCACGTTATTAAACTCAATCTCGGCTCTCTTGTTTCAGATTCTTAATTCTCAAGTTACCACGGCACAGCACATGGAGCGCGAGAAGGCTTATGATGCTGTGAGTTTTTTTTTTTTTTTTTTGGTTTATCTTTAAATTTTCCTTAATACAAACGGAATTTCGAATTAATGTTTGTTTGTTGATTGGTTTTGGAAGATTGCATCATTGTTGAAGATACCTTTCCTTGATGAAGAGGTTGCAAACAACTCTTTTCCTCGAAAGGTGAATTCCAAGTTCCAAACACTCTGCTTAACTAAATGGAGGAAATCTACATTTAAGTTATCTCATAATTTATGCAACATATTCTTTTTAGATGGTTTTCCTTTTCTATTGCATATAATCTTTCATTTTTTGCTCATATTTTAGTACTTATCCATATTGATTAGTTGAAAGAATATTTGAGGCAACAGAGGTAGATTATGGTAATAAAATTAGTAAAACCACTTTTTGCAGATGGGTCGTATTGATGGATATAATCCCATCAATGCTAGAAAGGATACTGCTTTTACTTGGACTGATGTGTACGTAAAGGACCAGAACTCGTCAATGGTCTCTGGTAACTAGATTTTTTATAACCTTATTGCATCTTCTTCTGCTTGTTTTATTTCACTTTGTCTTGAAAACATATGGGAAATTGAATTCCCGTCGTTTTTTTCCCCAAGCAACTTATTTCCACCAATAATTGTATTCTTCTTCTAGCAATCCATGAGTTGTCTCCAAACATGAACATCCATTCCTTTGGAAAAGCATTGTAATTTTGAGTTTTCTGTTTTTCTCCAAAAGCTTTGCCAGATTCATGTAACAGTAGTCTCTCTATCTCTGCAATTTGTATTCCTTTGGTCAGCCTCTTCACTGTGTGTTTGTTGTGCAGAAAGTTCAATGAATAGAAGTGAAGGAAATGACTCATTGGGCCAGCATGAAGGTACTGATTCTGAGGGACCTAGTTCAAGTGAATGCAAATTCAAGGAGTTCATTTGTGGTGAGGAAGCGCTGAGGATATCTCCCACAGAGCCTTATAGTTTGCGTCGCCCTATTCGCAGAGGCCACTTGAATATTTCCCAACATTATCCTTTTCAGCAGGTAAGTCTCTGTTTATTGGCCTACTTCACTTGTCTTTAAAAGGAAGATTTTCAACTTTCATAATTTTCATTGTCATATCTCTTTTGTTTGATCATCCTTCACTGTCATATTTATTAATTTAATGATAGAAAATTGTGATCCTGCACAAGTTATGGTTGTCAGCTTCAGCTTATGGAGAATTGCTTTGTTATATTGGAAATGATGAAATTTAATTATTGATTTATTTTTTCTTTTCTTTTATTGTTTTTACTGAAATGCATGTTGGGCTTTATGCATCTAATCTGTTATGAACTGCATTTCATTTATTTTGCAGGTATTAGAAGACCTGCAAACCATTTGGGATTGGATTTTAATAGAGAAATTGCATATCCCTCATCATGAAAGAAGCTTATATTCTGTGATTCTTGTTGCTTCAGAAACATTTGATAATCGTGGTATTTATGTGTTTATCTTTCTTTTCTAGATGTAAAATTTCATTTCATGAGTGTGTGTAAGTGTGCAAGTGCATATGTCAATAAAGAATCTTCCATAATTTTCTGATTTATGTGCTAAAAGCAGAGATAAAGGAGATTTTGTCTATTTTACTACGGGATTTGCATTTTAGCTCAGCAGTTGTCCACCAGGTGAGAAGTCCTTTGATACTTACATATAACATAAAATCAAGTTTCCATGCCAGCACCAAGCTATTTTCAAAACTGACACTTCCATTGTCAAGTTGAATTAGAAAAATGCTTTATTTTATGCCATGGTTTTCAATGGTGTTTAAAGTACAGATTTTCTCCAAAATATACAATTTTCTAACAATGTGTGCGTATGTATGGTTCTCTAGAAATGGAGAAATGAATGAACAATGAATCACAGCAGATATCTTTTCTGATGATGCAATATTGAGCATCCATCAATTGCTTGTCTTGTTTATTTTCTTTAGGTGTTGTTGTTGGTCTTCTTTCTTGTCTTTCGATGTTGCTTTCCTCCACTTTTTTAGCAGCAATGCCTTGGATGTAATCACTATTCTTTGAGGTTTACTCCATTAATATATGATGATGAATTGATCACAGGAAGGGCTTGCAGCAGTTTTTGGGAATGGTTTATCAACAGCATGTGTTGTAAACATTGGAGCTCAAGCGACATCAGTCATTTGCATAGAGGTAACTGCGGCATCTGTTTGTCATTTTTTCTATTACTTTTGGCTTTTGTAATTTGTATATCTAAACATCAATGCTGAAAGGAAAATGATTAAGAAGATACAATATAGTCTTGCCATCATCTCTTTATCTCAAACCTTTTCACTGCAATTTTCTTGCTGATTTTGAGACAACTGCTCCCATCCTTCCACCACCATTTAAAAATCACCATCGGGAGCACCTATTCTTGTGTGCCTTAGGGTTTTCTATGTCCTTCACTTTTGTAATCACCTAGAAGCAAATTGGAAATTTTATGTATATATATATATATTTGTTTCCTTTCTGATGGTGTTCACTTCTGGGTAAATATTTATTAGTTGCAGAATTGGAAATGCCTAGAATATAAAGAGCTATCATTTAAGTATTTAACTAATTGCTTCTCTTTGAACATGCAGGATGGAATGGCTCTGCCTAATACAGAAAAGACTTTACCTTTTGGAGGAGAGGTGTGGGTTCTAAATTGTTGTGCTGAATATCTGAATTAATATATATTAGGAAGGTGCTCAAAATTGATTTTTGGTGTTTGAGTTTATACCATCCAGTATCCATGCATACCCTTTCAGTTTACTTCATGCATCTAGCATTGAACTCCATTTTCATTGTACCCTGTGCAAACTGTACATAGCAGCAGCAGTATTCTTAGGGGATGATTTTTGAGGCGTCTGTTTCAGTGACCTTGCAATGAAATTACTGCTTGAATGAGTTAGTCAGAATGTACTGGATACGATTTTTAGGGAAAAAGGACACCAATTCTTATTCAAATTTAGATGATATTATAATTATGCTATGATTTACGTTGTGTAGAATTTTTTGCTCAGAATTTAGTTTTAATTTGTGTGGATTAAGCTTCTTAAATGGTGCTGGAATTCAGTTGTTAAATGTCCAATGAGTGTTGAAATGAATGATGATTATTTTAATCTGTTATTTGACTTTATCTAGAAAACTTTTAACATTGAAGCAAACTTTTGAGTGTACTGTGTTGATTATTATTATTATTATTATTATTTTGTAGGATATATCAAGATGTCTTCTTTGGACTCAGAGGCATCACCAGACTTGGCCACAAATTCGTACTGACATCTTGACAAAGCCTATAGATCTTTTGATGCTTAACAGACTAAAAGAGTCCTATTGTGAGATTAAGGTCAGCATTGTTGATGCTAACAATTTTATTTTACTTCACATAAAAGCAGTTTCAAGCTATTTTTGAGATTGAGAGGGATTATCCTTCTATTATGTATATTGTGTTGATAATTTCCATAATGGATGAATATCTTCTGGTTGTAATTAGTTGCTAAGCTTCTAATGTTCCCTGTTCAAAGCATTCATATGTTCCAGCTTCTTCCTGCTTTATGTCTTTGACCAGATGTTTTCGAGTGTAAATTTTATGCTAAGGCAATAGAATTTATATTAGTAGTCAAGAGGGCAATGCCCTTATAAACAGCCTATCATGCTGATTTAAATTGCTATTCTATGTTTTGTCATAATCTTTTTTGTTTTTATTTATATTTACTTGGATAAAGAACCTAATTTGTTTTCCTTGAACCTATGTGCAATATCCTTCAACTTAAAATTCATGGTTCTAACATAAGATGTTTAGTAATCTTCTTGCAACTTAAGAGTTAAGATTGAAACTATTTGGATGTCTGTGTCCTATTTTTATAGTGGAACATGCATAAAACATGATAATCCAGGCTTTTGGAGCTTAGAGGTGCATCTTTCATCTACGGCATTGAAGGTCTTTCCTTTTTTTTTTGCCATCCACAGCATCAGAAGTCATGGTTATTGATTAATTGGTGTCAAAATTAGATTCTCTTGTATAGTACTACTAAGAGTTGTATTGTGTGAATGCATGACACTTTCCATGAGGAGACTATGCATCTGATTACTCCAAGTAATCTCTTAGTTTCCATAATGTTCTAATTCAATTACTGAAAAGTCCTTGTTCCAGCTGAAGAACGTATGTCCAAAGTGCCTTCCTGATTTCAAGTTTCAACTGCTGCAAAGAAAGGGCTGCAATGGTTTTAGTCTTTCTTTTGCCTACTAGTCAAAGACAAAAGTTAGTCGGGTTGCAACTTCCGTTCATTTTTCCCTTTTTAGAAGTAAAGGGTGTTGCTTCTCTCAGTACCATGTGCAATATGAAACCTGGCTTCATCACTCTCTTCTTTGCCCAAAACATGAGAATATTTATCCTAACATTTTGCATGTGTCTTTGGGCAAGGCATTGATATTTGCTAAACCTTTTAGTGTGCATGATAAGCCGATATCTGAGAATGTTTCTTATGGTTTGCTTTAATATCATGTTGTAGGAATTTTCTATATATCTTAACAGTTTACTGTGAGCAGGAAGGTGAGCTTGATGCTGCTGCTGTTGTACATTCTTATGAGGATGGCATGCCACCTGGATCTCATAAGATAAGGCTAACCGCTCTTAATGTATTCTGCCTTTACTTGAACTCTTTTAGCATTTTTCCTCCTCAAAAGGATTTTGCCAACCAGGTTTTTGTTTCTGATTGTTCCATTAAAAGGTTCCTCCCATGGGTCTGTTCCACCCAGCACTTTTGGTTCCTGATGTATATCCTCCTCCACCTCGGTCATGGTTAGTGAGATCTGCTAGATTGTATTTGTTTGACTTTTGCAGTTTTGCAGGTTTTATCCTTCAATGCCATTAATTCTTGTTTACTTGACCAGGTTTCATGACTATGAAGATATGCTAGAAGATGTGTGGAACATGTCAGATAGTCAGTTTCCTGGCATTAGTGCTGGGTTACCAATGTGGGACAACTACCCAGTTTTTTCAACTAAACCAAAGAAAGAAGAGAAGGTTGGCCTTGCAGAAGCCATAACAAGTAGCATTCTCTCAGCTGGTAGGTTTACATGCTTTTTTTTAGTGTCTCATATTATTTGTTATCTTATGAAGCTCACCTAACTCTGGTTCTTCAATGGCAGGTCGGATAGATCTCCAGAGAAAGTTATTTTGCAGCATACAACTGGTATGTTGGGCATGAAGTGTAAACCCTTCAACATTTGTTTTTTTCATTGTTTAACATTCTTTTAATATACATATAGCATGTCAGCATTCTTTATATACTTGAAAAGCTGACTTCTATCAATTTTTTAGATTGGTGGGGTGGCTTTGACTGGTGGGCTGATCCCTGTTGTGGAGGAAAGGTTTGTTTTGCTATTGGCTTAGTTATTTTATTATCCTCATATAGCAGTGTGATTTTTATGAATAATGTTCCATGAAATTGTCAAAGAGCTCAAAATCCTCATGCATTACCTAGAGCATTTCTACATAAACGGGAAAATTGGATGCATGCATGACATGCCTTCCTGAATCCAGAGCTTAGACTGTTAATTATATTCCAAAAATAGTGTGCATTGTAGTTTGACTCCTAGAAGTCAAACCAATCTGGCTTAGTGTTCAATTGTTACAACTTACAAATGAAATAGGTTTCAGCAAGCTGATTTTGGATTTGATATCAAAACATGTCTGCCTAAAACATTTTTTTTGGATTGGGATCATATGCCTATGTGATCTCCTCAAACAGTGCTAATTGAGGATGCCTTTAGCAATTACAATTGATTACTTTGATAAGTTTTGATCTTGACGTCTATGTTACTTGTTTCTGAAATTTCAGAGAGCCTATTAATATTCTATCATAATAGAAAATTTACTGGATTGGATTCTTACTATTTGTTTTGATATCAACCTATTTTCCTGTGAAAGTATCATATTAATGCTGGTTCCATTTACGTTATTTGATAGAACTTCATGCTTATGTGGGAGCTACTAGAACTTCCATGACAGTTTGAACTTCCAACTTTTAATTCATTGTCACAATTAGCAGATGAAATTAAGACTTTTTTTTTTTCTCAATAAAGCTAAATATTGCTACTTTGAAGTACAAGGGGTACTCCAACCTATACATCACAGTGTAGTGACAGTTTACTCAAATCTCCAATTACATCAGAAGGAACTCTCATAACAGTGTGCACAAAGCAGAAAACATCAATCAAAACAATACCAGATGAAATTAAGACTAAATTCAATTCTTATGATCCATCTTAGCTCATCTCAAGAAAGCAAGCTTTTCTTACTGCTATTTTGGTTGTAGTGGGTTCAGTGACTTCCCTTGGTATGTTCTGACACCCAAATAATGGTGTGCATCCTTAATATTTTTCTTTTCTTGTGCAGAGTTTTACACACTATACCTTCAAATGAAGCAATTGATACTGTTGAGGTTAGTTTTGCAGAATTTCATTCTTTGTGGTATAAGCAAGCATATCTCCCTGTCTATGACTGTTAAGTGTAGATTATCACAGTCCAAGAAAAAATTAACTTTGGCCATGGTTCAATTATTTGGTATGAGTAATTACTAATAGTGAAAAAGGATATCCAGCAGTTGAGATTCCTGAATTCAGTTATTATATCCAATTGATACTTTGTTAAACTTAAATTTTAACATATAATTCGTAGTAGTAGTAGTAGATGGAAATATGATAACAGGTTTATCGGCATGAGCTGACCCTCCACCATTCCCTGTTAGATACTTTTACCAACATCAAAAGTTCAAATTGCCCAGTAAAGTAAGCTGAGAGAATTTTTTCTCCTCATGAATTGTTCATTTGCTTACGTAATTAGTTTCTTGCAGATTGTCAACTAATGATTTTCCCAGTTCCGTATAACTTAAATGTTATCCTTCTTCTTTCCACCTTCAATTTTGTATTAAGCTCTTGTTATTTGTTACCCTTCAAATGTGAAATAGGTTTTGCAGTCAAGAACAAATCCAACCTTTGTGTCGTGGAGAGGTGGAGCTGTAAGTTATCTTCTTACTGTTTCTTATTCTTTCTCATGGTGGGTTAGTTGCATATGTTGGTTGCATTATGCAATACCCAATTATTTTCCTTATCCCTACGCAAGATATGACAACCTTAAAATATGAGAACATATCATGTAATATTTCTGAGGAAGAGGAACATGAAAAGGTTTTCAAAGTCTAGACAGTTAATTACCATCAGAGACTAGGAAAACTGTCCGCGTAGGAATGTGCAAATATTTATCTTATCAAGAGGAAGTTATTTTTTGTCTACAACACAAGATAATGATGTTGAGTCATTGAAATGTGCTATAACTAATGAAAGATAAAATGACATGTTCCTACAATGTATACAATAAGATATAGTTAACCTTGACCTTGCAACACACAAGCACACTCTTTAGCTGAGAAGTTTGTTTGTGGCAGATTCTTGGCGTTCTAGATTTCAGTCGGGATGCATGGATACACCGGGACGACTGGATCCGCAACGGAATTCATATTGGGAGTGGGAGGAAATATAAGGACTCCTATTTTCTTCAAGCACAGGCAATGTGTTACATAAATTCCTAGGAAGTCCCAGCCTTGTAGAAGGAACAATTTTTTTGTATGAAGTGACTAGGTATTAAGTTGTGAATCTGTGTCTAAAAACATATGTAACTTTATCACTAGTCCAAGTGGTTGATAGTGCAGACAATACTTCTGTAGCTTGTGTTCATCTTTAAACTCCAAGATGCAACTAGTACTCAGTTTGAAGAAGAATCAAGAACGGCAGACTTCAAGCCCTTTAGTGGTGTAACAGGTGGGCGGTGGGGGGAATTGATATCAACCAAAAAAAAAAAAAAAAAAAAACTTCATGATAATGTTTCCTTAATGCATGGCCA